TAAAAATAATTAACGTCTATTGACGTATTAATTGTAATTCCTTTAACTGAAAACAATATGGCTACTGAAAAACGTGCAAGATCTGAATCTCCTGTAAAAGATGAAATTATTAACAACTCTCACGAAAATATTGATATAGATATCAATGATACTACTAATTCAGATGTTGAAAATCCTAAGTCCAAAATAAAATTATCAACTAAGAAAGTTTTAATTAGTAATATTGCATATGAAGTTAAATGGCAGGATTTGAAGAGTCTTTTAAAGGATGAAAGTATATATTTTAAATTTTACACATAAAGGAGAAGCATTAAATTGAGATACTCGATTTAATGAATTTTCTATATTTTGATATATAATATTTTGTTTTTAACAAGTTTAGATTCTTTATTTGGTTGACACATCTTACATATTTTATAAATTTATTTCGTTAATTTGTATTTTGGTATTGCATTATATTCTTTAAATAGTTGGAGAAGTTGATTTTGTACAGATTTTTGAATCTCCTGATGGAAGGTCCAAAGGCGTGGGGTAAGAAAATTTATATTTTATACATGATTTTTTGTTTGGTGTTTGATTAAATATTATTTTTAACACTTTTTAAATACTGGATTTGGGATTACTTTTATTTTGAGGGTTTATATAAATACTACTCTGATATACCATTTTTAATTTGCTCAAAAATTTCATGTATATTGATATAGTGTCGTGGAATTCAAAACTGAAGAAATGGCTCAAAAATGTGCTGATAAAATGCACAGATTTGTTTATAAAGGACGAGAATTAGTTGTAAAAGAGGTTTTATAAATTTATAGTTTTCATTTTTATCATATTCAAAATAAGGACAAAGAAGGTGAAAGAGATAAATTTGGAGAACCAATTCCTAAAATTACACAAAATGATGGCTTAGATTTTGAATCCTATGGTATTGAAGCCAAAACATTAAATGACTTGGGAATTACAGGGCCATTAACTAATAGATTATTTGTGGCAAATGTATATAAAAATCTATAATTTCTATTGTTAACTCTATTATCTTCAATTAAATTTTATTATTAGATTGATTACAAAGTAGATGATAGAAAAATTAGAGACGTTTTTTGCTTAGCTGGTAAAGTCAACAAAGTTTGGCTTCATAAAGGTGAAGAAAGCAAACCCCGTGGCACAGGAATTGTAGAAATGTCTCATCCGGTTGAAGCTGTCCAGGCAATAGCAATGCTCAATGGCCATGTTAGTGATTTATTTCATATAACATTTATTAGCTGTTTATAATATTTTACTATTTCATAAAAATATATAGAGACTATATAACAGAGAATTAGCCATAAGAATAGACAAATTCACTCAAGATGAAGATAATAAATCACGCAAATTTCCTGTACCCAAACCAGTATTACTGCCAAGTTTAATACTTAAAATGATTATTTTATCAAAATCATTGTTTTTTTATTCTTGCTGCATAAATTCATTTAATTCTTATAAATTTTAAACTAGTAATAATGTTCAATATATGTAAATATTGAACTCCTTTATAATCAAAAAACATACATCAATTATAGATTTTAACATCACAACCTTAAATTATTTGTATTTAATTTAACAAGAGGGTCTTAAATCAATTGGCATGGGTATCAGCATTGGAGGAGTTCCCCTATCCATATGTCAAATGTTAGGAGGTGGTGTTTCTCCTTTTGACTCAGAAATGTTCTTTGATGCCAGCAGTAGAGGTATGTCAGGTTCCCCAAATGGTTTAGGCAATCCCAATCAACTTAACTCATTACTTGGAAGTGGAGCTGGATATGGAGGAGCCAATAATCAGCAGTTGATGTCAATTATGAATGCCCTAATGGGGACTGGAGGTGGATCACCTGGAAATAATGGTTTGCAAAAAACTTATTTTGTTATTTAATTTAGTTTCAAATAGACTATTTTTTTTTATAATAGAGGTTCATTATTATATTTATGTATTTTTTAATATTCAATTTTTACAAACCAATATCACTCTTAAAATAATAGGATTGAATCCAATGCTAATGTCAATGATGTCTCAAATGGGTGGTGGCCCTGGCCCAATGGGTGCAAGTCCAGGTCTGCTCAATTCACTTTTTGCTGGGAGCATGATGGACCCAATGATGTCTTCTCACCCCCCTCCAATTAAAAGGGGTGGGGGTAGTTCCCAAAACTCACCTGGAAATGTGGGAGGAGCTAACAAAGTCCTTGTTAAAAATCTACCATCTGGCTATAAGTGGCAAGATTTGAAGGACAAGTTTAGGGAAGCTGGTGATATCAGGTATTTTTGAATACCATACTCTTTCAATTTGTATTTAATTATATTGCTCTATTTTTATTTATAAAAAAATGAATGGAAAATTTATTTTAATGGTGCCATTTTTAATTTATGACCTAAATGATTGTTGCTTTATTAGTATTTTATCAAAGGAAATTACATTGCATTAAAACATTTTTTATTTATCTTATAAATTTATTTAAGGTATGCTTCTGTCAGTCCTTGCAAAGATGACCCTTCATCCTCCGAGGGTTTAGTTCAATTCGCAAATATGGACTCAGCTCGTAGAGCTGTTAAAAATATGGATAACATTAGATTGGGTGGCCGAGTCATATCGTTACAATTGCAGCATTCATAAATTAAATGCTGGTTTTTGGAAAATGTCATTTAACTATTAAATTTTTTGTATATATCTCATGTCTTATGTATATATATTTTAACTTAGTTTAAAATTAAAATGTAGATTGTGATAACTCAATTTTTTGATTGAAGCCATAATTTATTGTAAATATTAATTATAATTTTTAATTGGTTATAAATTAGTTTTAAATAAAATTTGAATCATTTCATATTTTTTTTAATAATGTACCACTTATTTTATATATGATGAGATCTTAAAGTTTTATATTTTTCAAAAATGCTATAATACTATTATAAATGTACCCAGGGTTTAACAAAAATCTTCATGAGCATTTGAAGATTTTGAGCAAAAATCTTTGTAGATCAAAGAATTTACTTATAAAATATTTGGAAAGTTAGGTAATATTTGATCAAGAATACTATAGGGCGTTTTAAAAAAAAATCTGAAAATTTTTGAGCATTAAACTTTATGTGCCAGACTCAGTGTTGTTAAAAGGACTGATTTGGGTCGATTTTAAAAACCAGTCCAATTAAGATTTTCGCCAAAATAATATGCAAACCTCGAGAGTTGTGTCCAAACCTTTATGCCATCTATTCAAATGATTATAATCTTATAATTGGTTCGTTTTATAAAATCGGGCACTTTAACACCAATTAGATTCAATTTTTTACTGCTATATCTTAAAATTTTAATTACAAGGCCAAGTATTAATATTTATTTATTTAAAGAAGAATTTTTTTGTTTTAAGTGCTTTATTAATTTGACATCTTTTAAGCATTTTGATGTATATAAATCCTCATTTAAATAAATACTTTTAAATAAAAAAATAGTCAGTCATCATGACTATTTTATGAAAATAGATGAAAGATCTGGTACATATCTACTAATAAAATGTTAAAATTATGTAGATTAAAATAAAGGCTAATCTAATTTCTATTAACGCTCAAATGTAATATATTTTTTGATCTTTTGTTTATTCCCTTATTAAGTGCAACCGATTTTTAATTTAAAATTAAATTGTTTAACTTCTGTGCAACTAACAGTTTTTCATTTGGCCTTGCTGATATTATATCATTGGGGCACTATAGGTAAAACATCATTTTATATCTTATATTCAATATTTTTTTGACATTTTTAATAAGATACCCTATTTTGATTATTTTCTTGATAACAGATACAAATGTTTTTTTATATTTTTGTTTAAAAAAATTAATTATATATATTAACCTATTTTGTGGATTTCGGTATTAATTTTATTATTATTTCTATCATGTCATATTTTAAAAATATTGGTTATATACCTATAACAAAAATCAACCAGAAAACCTACAATTTACATCATGAAAGATAACACTAAAATAAATTAAGGACATATTTTTGTTACAATTCCTTATATGAATTGTAATCAAATTGTCGAAGGCTCGTGGGAGAGACTGGAACCTAGTATTAATAAAAAGGAATATATAATAAATTAAATAATTTGGTTAATAAATCTTACGACTCCTGTTTTTCACTAAACAAATTTTATATCTTGAATTTTTCACAATACTAAATTTCTTCAAATTATAAAACCATACACTGACTTTTATTTTAAAATTTTTTCATTTATATACATTTTTTTAATGTGCAAAAAAATTACAAGTATATTAAAAATTCATAAAAAAATAATAAAAATTACAAGTATATTAAAAATTCAAAAAATAATAAAAATTACAAGTATATTAAAAATTCATATATAATAATAAAAATTACAAGTATTCATAAAAAATAATAAATTACAAGTATTCATAAAAAATAATTAAAATTACAAGTCTATTTAAGTTCATAAAAAAAAAATTCCTAGACTGCATATTCAAATTAATACTTAACAATCGTCGAGCACATATTCACAAACTAACATATGAAAATATAATTTATATTCATATTAATAATTCATTAATCGTCGATCACATATTCACAAAGTGATAATAACAATTTTATATATTAATGTAATTGAAATAGTATATTACTATGTATATATGTTTAAAAGAGCTCCGTGAAGTTGGCAGAACGACTTGAAGTGCAATTGACAATATTGATGTCGTTATTTAGAGCTTTAATTGCACCTCTATCCGGACATCAGCAGAATGAACCGTTCGTGAGTTATGAGAAAATAAGGAAAGTGTGAAATTTCGATGCTGACAGAACGACTTGAGGTGCAATTAACAAAAGTACACCATTATTTAGAGTCTTAATTGCACCTAATTGCACTTCTATCCGGACATCAGCAGAATGAACCGTTCGTGAGTTATGAGCAAAATAAGAAAAGATCCTTTTTTAAAACTTAGCAATAATGTAATATTTGATTTACTCTATAATATTCTCAAACCCAGATATCCTTATCACTAACCGTAACCGAGCTATAGCTATTTAAAAAACGTAAAGTTGGCAGGACGACTTGAGGTGCAATTAACAAAAATTATGCCATTATCCTTAATTGCACCTAATTGCACTTCTATCCGGACATCAGCAGAATCAACCGCTCGTGAGTTATGAGCAAAATAAGAAAGTGTTGGCACTTTGTCAAAACCGAAAATAAATTAGATTACCTTTTAAAACTTGGCAATTAATTAGTTTACAATTTGTGCTTTAATATTCACTAAACGGGATATCCGTATTATTAACCGCAAGCGTATGATATTTATTTATCTGAGAAGAGTGAAGTAGGCGGAATTATTTATAAAATGTGAAGTGCAATTAGGGATACTTATGCCAATGTGTAGCCCTTTAATTGAACATCAAGAATCTTTAAACGGCATATCAGCAGAATTAACCGTTCGTGAGTTATGAGCAAAATAAGAAGGTGTTGGTACTTTGCCAAAACCGAAAATAAATAAGAATAATTTTCAAAACTTGGCAATTATTTAGTATTCAATTTGTGCTCTAAAAACGGGATATCCGTATCATTAACCGCAAGCGAGTAATATTTGCTTATTTGAGAATCGGAAATAGGCGGAATTATTTATAAAAAGTGAGGTGCAATTAGCGATACATATGCCACGAAACTTGACAATTATTTAGTATTCAATTTGTGCTTTAATATTCTAGAAACGGGATATCCGTATCATTTACCGAAAGCGAGTAATATTTGCTTATTTAGAAGCCGAAATAGGCGGAAATTTTTATAAAAAGTGAGGTACAATTAGCGATACATATGCCAATGTGTAGCCCTTTAATTGAACATTAAGAATCTTTAAACGGCATATCATCAGAATTAACGGCTAGTGAGTTATGAGCAAAATAATAGAGTGTTGGCACTTTGCCAAAACCGAAAAAAATTAAGAATAACTTTCGAAACTTGGCAATTATTTAGTATTCAATTTGTGCTTTAATATTCTCAAAACGGAATATCCGTATCATTAACCGTAACCGAGTTATATTTATAACACTCTATTATTTTGCTCATAACTCACTAGCCGTTAATTCTGCTGATATGCCGTTTTAAGATTTTTAATGTTCAATTAAAGGGCTACACATTGGCATATGTATCGCTAATTGCCCTTACTTTTTATAAATAATTCCGCCTATTTCCGCTTATCAAATAAGCAAATATTACTCGCTTGTGGTTAATGATACGGATATCCCGTTTTGAGAATATTAAAGCACAAATTGAATACTAAATAATTGCAAAGTTTTGAAAGTTATTCTTAATTTTTTTCGGTTTTGGCAAAGTGCCATTACTCTATTATTTTGCTCATAACTCACTAGCCGTTAATTCTGCTGATATGCCGTTTAAAGATTCTTAATGTTCAATTAAAGGGCTACACATTGGCATATGTATCGCTAATTGCACCTCACTTTTTATAAATAATTCCGCCTATTTCCGCTTCTCAAATAAGCAAATATTACTCGCTTGCGGTTAATGATACGGATATCCCGTTTCTAGAATATTAAAGCACAAATTGAATACTAAATAATTGTCCAGTTTCGAAAATTATTCTTATTTATTTTCGGTTTTGGCAAAGTACCAACACTTCTTAGTTTGCTCCACGAATGGTTAATTCTGCTGATATGCCGTTTAAAGGTTCTTGATGTTCAATTAAAGGGCTACACATTTGCATAAGTATCCCTAATTGCACGTCACATATTATAAATAATTCCGCTTACTTCACTCCTCAGATAAATAAATATCATACGCTTGCGGTTAATAATACGGATATCCCGTTTTGGGAATATTAAAGCACAAATTGTAAACTAATTAATTGCCAAGCTTTAAAAGGTAATCTAATTTATTTTCGGTTTTGGCAAAGTCTTATTTTGCTCATAACTCACGAGCGGTTGATTCTGCTGATGTCCGGATAGAAGTGCAATTAGGTGCAATTAAGGCTCTAAATAATGGCATAATTTTTGTTAATTGCACCTCAAGTCGTTCTGCCAACTTCACGTTTTTTAAATAGCTATAGCTCGGTTTCGGTTAATGATACGGATATCCGGGTTTGAGAATATTAAAGAGTAAATCAAATACTACATTATTGCTAAGTTTCAAAAAAGAATCTTTTTTATTTTCGGTTTTGGCAAAGTGCCAACACTTTCTTATTTTGCTCATAACTCACGAACGGTTCATTCTGCTGATGTCCGGATAGAAGTGCAATTAGGTGCAATTAAGACGCTAAATAATGGCATAACTTTTGTTAATTGCACCTCAAGTCGTTCTGCCAGCATCAAAATTTCACACTTTCCTTATTTTGCTCATAACTCACGAACGGTTCATTCTGCTGATGTCCGGATAGAAGTGCAATTAGGTGCAATTAAAGCTCTAAATATTGACATCAATTTTGTCAATTGCATCTCAAGTCGTTCTGCCAACTTCACGGATCTGTTTAAAAGTAATATAGCCATGTTAAAAAGTATACTTAGATCAAAGTTATACATTTGCTCAAAATAAAAAAATCTATGAAGATTTTAAGATTTTTTATTTTAAAATGGTTTTAAGATCTAAATCTTTGAAGATTTTTTATTTAAATATATTTTTGATCAAAGATCTTCATATTTTAAGATGTTGTAGTAAATTATTATTTTTATAATATTTTTTTGAGGTAAATAGGTTAGCATGCATGTTAAATTAAAATAAAAATTCTATGAAGATGTACCATAAAGAAGTGACAATTGT